AGAATATGGCTTTGGCTATACTACAACAAGATCCCTATATACCCCATATTCTATCTACTTCAGGGGGACTATAACCCCAATATATACCCTATTATAATATAGTAGTTTCCACATTACCATTATCCCCATATAACCCCAATAATGTACCCCATATTCTATCTACTTAAGGGGGACTATAAACTCCAGACCCTCATGGCGAACAGGCCGTGTTGGCGGAACCATCGGAGGGCCTGGACATCTTGGGCCCTGTGTGCGCCATGGGGTCCCGTGTTCAAGCTTGAAGTGTGCCGAGGACAAAAGAGCATATAGTCCCCCTTAAGTAGATACAATATGGGGTAGACTATTGGGGTTATATAGGGATAATGGAAAAGAAAATGGAAACTACTATATTATAATGGGGCATATATTGGGGTCATAGTCCCCCATAAGTAGATAGAATATGGGGTATATGGGATCTTATCAAAATTTATCCAAAACCATATTCTATCCACTTAGTGGGGACTATTATCATAATCCCTGTACAATCTTCAGTAAAAAATGCCCACAGACAGCTTGTAACCCATTGGGGGCAACAAACGAGGCTTAGCTTGAAGGCTACTCGGGCTCAACGATCAAATAGATCTCTGAGCCTTGACTCCGGCATATGGAATATAGTTTGGGTGCAGAAAAATTTTGCAGCTTATGCACAGAAGTCAACATTCAAGGGTTCCATGGGAAGCTGGAGTTACTCCAGCTTATGCCGGAGTCAGCCGATTGCGGGGAAGGCTACAGGCTTGCCACTGGGCAGGAAAACGTTGCTGAAGTTCGGGTTGGGGGTGATCGCTTGGAGTTCTTCTGAGCAATTAACGGAGATGCTTAAACGCAGAAAATTGTAATTCTGCTTTTCCTCTTACATGGCTATGCCACTCCAGCCCTTGTACCCTAAACCCTACACCCTGAACTCTTCGATGTTGCAGGTACACAGACGCTGGGACCTGGCGCTTCGACAACTCCCCTAACCTGCTTTATGGTCCCCTGACGCTTGTCGAAACTAGGTATTATAACTGTATTATCACGGTGTCCCCCATTGACCCCCTCTATACCCCGTCCCCCCCCCCCATGTTCCCCCCTAACTATATAACCTCAATTAGGCTTCATTTTCAAGGGGGAACCTAGGCGGGGTAGTATAGAGGGGTTGGTAAGGGAACCCATGATATTGGTACTAGCAAGAGTTATAGTAACATAAGGTCGTCATAATATCCTTATAGATAGATAGCAGGGATAGCTAGAATATTGAGACCACAACCCCCACAGTGCAGGGTTGTATGATATTTGAACCGGTAGGTGGGCTGATGGCGTTCTTTGGATTCTTCTCGTCTTTGAGATTGTTCACTGGGCCGGGTCTGCAAACACAGGGTCATGCGCTTGCTGTCAGAAGCTCCTTACATCTGCTGGGCTGAAGAGTTCCCTCATCATCCAGGACTTCACCGGAAAAGAATTGTCAAAAAACAAATATATCACAGTATTTTACATTTTCCATTATTCCCGAATATAGCACCAATATATACCCTAATATACATAATTCAGTAGTTTCCATTTGCTTTTCCATTATATGTCGCAAACAGCTTGGCTTTTTCCAGATGATGGGCCCTACCAGGGCTTGTGCTGATTGTAGGTGTATGGAGAGTGCCTGGTGCTTGAGGTGCTTGAGGTGCTTGAGAAACAGCCATATCGGGGTTTCCCCAAAATTAGGGGTACCTTTCTGGAGGTTCCCATAGGAAGGATTATAGTATTTTGGGGTGTATATTGGGGTCCCCCTATTTTGGGAAACTACCATATCACTTGTAATGCCGCCTATGCGAGGAACGCGTTGCTCGTCCCCGCCAAGGTGAAGGCTTGTGGTGTCAGCGCAACCAAGCTGTTTGCAAATGAATGCCCCTAAACTCTAAACCCTACATGAGTAAGTACACAAACTCGCGCGGCATGAGAGATTCTTAAACAGATGCATGTCCAATTCCAAGTCCTAGCTTGACAACTGTGGTGATCTGCGATCTAGCTTCCGTTGTCCCGTTGGAGGAAGTTCCTGACGATTGGGTGTATAGAAATTGTAGTTTGTGATTGTGCACCGATAGTCATGAATTTCACTGCTTGACTTGAGTAGTGAATTGGCCGGACTCCAAGAGTGGCTGGCCTGCCCGGCTATGCGCAGCAGCTGACGAACCCGAGTCTGCGCGGGAGAGAGAGAGAGAGCTTCACAACTGTAGGCCCTTTGCATCAGCAGGCAGGTGTTAAATCATGGTCACCGTTGTCTGCCGCAGCTGAGGTTGAGACAAAATGTTAGATGAGCACGTGTTCCCCAAATCTCAATGTCAGCCCCTACTAGGGTGTTCCTGAACATGTTTGTTCATGCTTGCATGCGCGGTAGTGCTATGACAAGCAGGCCGCGCGTAGATTTTTCAGCCATGGATAGTAATGCATACACGCACAGACATATATATATATTTTTTTTGTTTATGTATCACCACGAATCCTACATGCCCCTATGTATCCCGATATGTCCTACAAGGTCGATGGAGAGCCACGCAAGCTTGGACATCCTTACAGGGTCAACTCAGCAAGACGCTACATCACATGGAGTGACAGAACTGCTACCGTTGTAAGGCGCTTGTAGATATCATAGCTAGATACTAGTTCAGGTTTGACAGAAGTTTCAAAGTTGACATAGATGGTTATTTCATTATGGTTCCCTAAACCCTAGACCCCATAATATATTACTCAGATTACCGGCCTAAACCCTAAACCCAGGGTGAATGCAAGCCTCCGGCATTTGCCGCCGCCGAAATGCCATGCCTACGAATGGGGCTTGGCCTAAGCCACCTCCCAGTCCCAAAGGCCACGGGTTTCCAAGATTTAGGGTTTAGGGTTTAGAGTTTAGGGTTTAGGGTAGGGTACACATGTTTTTGAGGGACTCTCATGGGGACCCCGAACAGGGGGCCCCACGAATATAATAGGAACATGATAGGAATACACCTGCCAGGGTCCTCATATTCCGATATTAGTCTCACTATATATTCTTGGGGTTCCTTGTTTATGGTCTCCAGTAAATAATGTGTGTTGATTTCTTGAATATAGTGGTTTTTATAGGGTGTAGGAGGTTTTTCAGGTTGAGGTTTAAGGTTTAGAGTTTGTATCATGGGGTTCGGGGGTTGGAAGTTTTCGGCTTCGTGGTAGTGGGTAAAGGGCTTTGGGTTTAAGGTTTGGAGTTAAGGGATTCAGGGCCGGAAAGGGGCTCATTTGACAGCGACAGCCAGGAGCTTCAAAAAGAAGCGGTTTGGCACCAGTAATCATCCGGTAGTCACTCGCGATTTTGAGGCTTGGGCCTACCAAATATGGTGTTATCAGAAGCCGTATAGTTCTTGTAAGCGTATAGTCCCCCTTAAGTAGAGAGAATATGGGGTATATCGGGATCTTATGATAATATACCCAAAGCCATATGAGCTATAGTCTAAACTCCTCAAAGGGGGTTATATAGGGCATTATATAGGGGAGTACTATAGGGCTGATTAAGGGGGATACTAGGAGTTTAGACTAGCTCATATTCTATCTACTTAAGGGGGACTATAGCCAAATCCTGGCAGCCTTGCATCAGGACATGGTGAAATAGCGGCGCGATCACCTCCCTGCAGTGATGGCTGCGAGGAACACAGGCCGGGTCCACCTCAACATATGGTCAGGTTGGGTTTAGGGCTTAGGGATTAAAAAGCCCTAAACCCTAAGCCCTTATAGGGTTCACAGACGTCTAGAAATTCAGGGGAGAAATTCAGGGCTCCTCCGACAGGGTTCGGGATGTTAGATACGTCTTCAGTGGAATACATCTTGAATAGCGTGGGTTGCATCGCGATTTTCTGACTATGTTGCTAGGGGATGCAATCTGGGATACTCTAAGCCCTAGACCACCCTAAACCTTAAACTCATTTCAGAACCCCATGCCCCCCTGCGTGGTGGTAGATTTTGCCTGCCTTTAAGGCGGTACGAATTTGCTGCGCGGGGGTCATCGCGAAATAGTGCAAATTGGCCGTTATCACAGCCTCCCTAAACTCTAAGCCCTACAACGGCATCATTCCAGCAAGCACAACATGAATAAAGTTCGGCGAGACTTTCATCCAGTATGGCTTCATGGATGAGGGTTTTAGGTTTTGGGCTCCGGGATCAGGATTTAAGGCCTGCGGTCTAGGGTAATGACGAGTGATCCTTCTGCTATTTAAATTTATGTGGTCTAACTTCTGCTTAGTTTCGTAGATGTGCTGATTACTACTGTTGTTTTATTGTTGTTCACGTTCCGTGTGCTGTCGCAAATGTCACTATCATGGCTATTGACGTTGCGCGAGGGCAAGGCACTTAAACCTCTCAGATAGACAGGAGGCAACACTTCTCACTACATCTGGCTGTAGTCATTCGAGGGATTTGATAGGACCTTGTGGCTCTCTACTCTCGGCCATCTGGGTTCATACATGTAATCACTTCCCCCTAACAATAAACGACGTCCCCCCCCTCCCCCTCCCTCCCCCCAAATAATAAATATTCCGGGTGGTCAGAAATTATTTATTATTAGGGGGGAATATTCATTGAAAGGATTTGGTAGGGCCGCCTTTAAATTCCTTTTAAAATCAATTAAAATCAAATAAAAATGAATAATTAAGTAACTAATTAATTAGACGAATATTTAATTAATCGATTAATTACATGAAATAAGTA